TTGACTGATTCCGAGATGTGGGCCCGGGGGCCGGGTTTTGGCCGATTTCGGATTTTTGGCATGTTTATGTAGTTTTTATTGTATAATTCGATTCTTTAGACTATGTTGATAGTAGTATTCTGATCATGGTTAGATTTGAAGCTTTTGGAGACCGGGTCGAGGGACGAGGACATCCCGGAGTAGGATTTTACGCTGTTGAAGTAAGTAACAGTTTTAACTCTGGCTTTGAGGGTATAAACCTGGAGAGTTTGATATCATGTGATTGTTTGGTGGTGATACCCATGCTAGGTGACGGGCGTGTGGGTGTGCACCGCGAGGGATTGAGACTTGGTCTGTCCCGTGAGGCTGTGAGGCCTAATGGCTATTATCTGTGGTTATATGTTTACTTGTTGTTGAACTTGTTTGCCTTCATGTTAGAGATCATGTTTAGGCTTTATTCATGCTCACATTAATTATACTCATTCATAGAAATTATTGTACATGTTTACCTCCGTCTCTATTATTTGCTAATATGCTGTGATACTTGATGTGGGATGTGTCCCATTATTTGTTGATGATGGTGAGGCTAGTGAGGTACATGATTGAGTGAGATCGATGGCCTGGTTGTGAGGATATTAATACCATAGCGCGTGATTTATCCGCGTAGCACGTGAGTTGACCGTGCGGGTCCAGGTATTTATACCATAGAACGTGAGTTGTCCGCGTAGCACGTGAGTTGACCGTGCGGATCCAGGTATTGATATGATGGCCTGGTTGTGAGGATACTAATACCATAGCGCGTGAGTTGTCCGCGTAGCACGTGAGTTGACCGTGCGGGTCCAGGTATTGATACCATAGCGCGTGAGTTGTCCGCGTAGCACGTGAGTTGACCGTGCGGATCCAGGTATTGATATGATGGCACGTGAGTTGTCCGTGCTTAGCGCTTGGGCTTTGGGAGCCCCTCCGGAGTCTGTACACACCCCCAGTGAGCGCAGAGTGTTGAGTGTATTGAGTGCTGAGTGCGAGTGCGAGTGCTGAGTGATGGAGGGACATTGTTGTGAGGTTCATTTACTTTTGCTGTTGCTGCATTTATCTGTTAAATTTCTCCGTGGCATTTACTGAGTTATGGAATTTACCTGTTTATTCCTGTTATTTTTTAAAATTGTGAAAAATAAATAATTGGACTATTTTGCTCAGCTCGTCACTACTGCTCAATTCCTTAGTTATTTCTGTTACTACTGAGGTGGTTGTACTCATACCACACCTTGCACTTTATGTGCAGATCCAGGTGAGTTAGAGCGCGGCGATCGTTGAGTTCAGGCCGGCTTTAATTGGAGACTGCAAGGTAGCTGCCAGCGTCCGCAGGACCTTGTTACTCCTTTTGTCATTTCTTATTTTGGACAGTTAGACAGTTATATTTCTTAGTTCATAGTTTTAGACGCTCATGACTTAGTGACACCCCGATGCTTGGGGCTCGTTTCCGTATTTTATATTATTTACATTTAGAGTTGGTTTAGTTTATCAGGAATTTAATTATTGGAAATGTTTATTAATTTCTTATAATCGTTTTAGTAGTAATATTTTGGGAAATAGGCTTGTCTTGTAACACGATAGGCACCATCACGACCATGGTTAGATTTTGGGTCGTGACAAGTTGGTATCAGAGCCTAGGTTACATAGGTCTCACGAGTCATGAGCGGGTTTAGTAGAGTCTTGCAGATCGGTACGGAGACGTCTGTACTTATCTTCGAGAGGCTGCAGAACCTTTAGGAAAAACTTCACCTTCTTGAATTCTTATCGTGCGGTATTGATTTTGCTTGAAGTGTAACTCTTTGAATTCCTTCCACGCATTCGTATGCGCACATGAGCGCTCGGTATCAGCTGTGCATCGACGGATTATGATTCCCTGGATGAGGTGCGAGATTTAATTTCTGTGTGTTGATGTTGGGCCAGTCTAGGGTACTTGAGGCCGAGTATTGTCTGTAGCTGGAGTACAAAAATTTCGATTGTGTGAGCACACGTTTATATGTCCGTTGGTGTCCCTATTAGTGGGATTTGTGATTTGATGGCTATGTGGAGAGTATGATTTGACTGCGAGATGAGCTCATATAATTTGAATGTGACGAGAAGGTATTGCTGAAGGTTTCATCTATTTGAGACTCCAGGTATGTTTTTAGACTCGTTCGAGGACGAACGTTTGTTTAAGAGGGGGAGGATGTAACGACCCGATCGTTCGTTCTGAGAGTTATAGCCACATTTCCCCCATCTATGCTTATTTATATGTTGTTCAGTTGTTTTGAGTTGTATCGAGTTGGTAGGTTTGCGTTCGGAGTAGTTTTGGAGTGAAATGAACACTTAGTCTCTTAATTAGAAAGCTAAGTTAGAAAAGTCAACCGGAAGTTGACTTATGAGTAAAAGAATTCGGATTTGGATTTTTATGATTCAGTTAGCTTCGTTGGGTATTTTAGACTTAGGAGTGTGTCCAGAATATAATTTGGAGGTCTGTGGTAGAACTAGGCTTGAATTGGCGAAAGTTGGAAGTTTAGAAGTTCTTAGGCTTGAATTCGAGGTTTATTTGGTGTTGTTTTGGGGTGTTCCGGAGGTTAGACTAAGTTCGTCTAGTGATATGTGACTTTTTGGAATTATTGGTTGAGGTCCCGAGGGCCTCGGATGAGTTTTGGATAGGTTTGAGTTGTGTTGCGCTCGTTTTTCTTATGTTTCGACGCCGTTTCTTCAAGCATAAATGATATCATATTGAACAAATGAGCTCCGATTTCGTTTTTGATTGAAGCATTAAATCTGTATCGTAATTACGGACCCGTAGCAAAAAGAATCGTCGAATTTGGACATCGTATGAGGATTTTATGGTCATTTTACTAAGAATTTAGTTGCCAGATTTTTCAGTTTAATTACGAAATTGCCACTAGCAGCGTATTTAAAAATCTGCACTATTTGCAAATATTAAAACCTACATATCTCCTTCGTTATAAGGTCAAATTGAGTGATTCAAAAGCCTAACTTGACTAAAATTTCACAAGGAATCCATTGGAGGCATAAAATACGAGTTTCGGGAATCGTTTGGCACGAGAAACGAGGCAGAATAGCTGGCAGAAAAATATACAAAATAAGGGTTTGTTCGTTCGGTCATATTTTGAGTTTGGGGAGCGTCGGAGTTTGGGCGTATTTTGGAGGTCGATTTTCATCATATGGATTGGGGTAAGTGTTCTCTACTCGATTTTGATTATAATTTATGAATCCATCTTCGTTTTTGGGATTTGATTGATGATTTCAAAGTGAAATTGAGGGAGTTAGGGTTTGAGTTTTGCAGAGTTTTAAGTGAGGATTTGAGGGACCAAACGGAGTCCGATTTTGACAAATTTTATATGGTTAGACTCGGGAGAGGACGAGGATTATTATTCTGCCATTTTTGACTGATTCCGAGATGTGGGCCCGGGGGCCGAGTTTTGGCCGATTTCGGATTTTTGGCATGTTTATGTAGTTTTTATTGTGTAATTCGATTCTTTAGACTATGTTGATAGTAGTATTCTGATTATGGTTAGATTCGAAGCTTTTGGAGACCGAGTCGAGGGACGAGGACATCCCGGAGTAGGATTTTACGCTGTTGAGGTAAGTAACAGTTTTAACTCTGGCTTTGAGGGTATAAACCCGGAGAAATTGATATCATGTGATTGTTTGGTGGTGATACCCACGCTAGGTGACGGGCGTGTGGGTGTGCACCGCGAGGGATTGAGACTTGGTCCGTCCCGTGAGGCCAGGCCTAAAAGCTATTATCTGTGGTTATGTGTTTACTTGTTGTTGAACTTGTTTGCCTTCATGTTAAAGATCCCGTTTAGGTTTTATTCATGCTCACATTATTTGTACTCAGTCATAGAAATTATCGTACATGTTTACCTCAGTCTCTATTAATTGCTAATATGCTGTGATACTTGATGTGGGCTGTGCCCTTATTTGTTGATGATGGTGAGGCTAGTGAGGTACATGACTGAGTGAGGCCGAAGGCCTGGTTGTGAGGATATTAATACCATAGCGCGTGAGTTGTCCGCGTAGCATGTGAGTTGACCGTGCGGGTCCAGGTATTGATACCATAGCGCGTGAGTTGTCCGCGTAGCACGTGAGTTGACTGTGCGGATCCAGGTATTGATATGATGGCACGTGAGTTGTCCGTGCTTAGCGCTTGGGCTTTGGGAGCCCCTCCGGAGTCTGTACACACCCTCAGTGAGCGCAGAGTGTTGAGTGTATTGAGTGTTGAGTGTTGAGTACTGAGTGCGAGTGCTGAGTGATGGAGTGACATTGTTGTGAGGTTGCATTTACTTTTGCTGTTGCTGCATTTATCTGTTAAATTTCTCCGTGGCATTTAGTGAGTTATGGAATTTACCTGTTTATTCCTATTATTTTTTAAAATTGTGAAAAATAAATAATTGGACTATTTTGCTCAGCTCGTCACTACTGCTCAGTTCCTTAGTTATTTCTGTTACTACTGAGGTGGTTGTACTCATACTACACCCTGCACTTTATGTGCAGATCCAGGTGAATTAGCGCGCAGCGATCGTTGAGTTCAGGCCGGCTTTAATTGGAGACTGCAAGGTAGCTGCCAGCGTCCGCAGGACCTTGTTACTCCTTTTGTCATTTCTTATTTTGGACAGTTAGACAGTTATATTTCTTACCTCATAGTTTTAGACGCTCATGACTTAGTGACACCCCGATGCTTGGGGCTCGTTTCCGTATTTTATATTATTTACATTTAGAGTTGGTTTAGTTATCAGGAATTTAATTATTGGAAATGTTTATTAATTTCTTATAATCGTTTTAGTAGTAATATTTTGGGAAATAGGCTTGTCTTTTAACACGATAGGCACCATCACGACCATGGTTAGATTTTGGGTCGTGACAAGTTGTTAAAATGATATCTTTGAGCTATGGAATTACCTACTAATAGGATGGTTATTTTATTTCGAACTACCTTTTTTATTAATTTCTCCTTTTTACTAACAAATATGTAGCTCTTGCAGTAATTCCAGAAAAGAAAGGAATATTCTTGAACGTCATGGACAATCTTAGAAATAAAAGATGGATGTATTGTGATAGAGTTAGTACAGAATATTTGGATGGAGTAGAGGATTTTTTGAATGATGCCTTTTCTGGAAAACAACCTGGAGAAAAAATTGCATGTCCTTGTATGGAGTGTGTGCTTATCCATCAAGTAAATCGGGCTACAACATATGATCATCTTGTGGTTAATGGTATTATACCGTCATATGATACTTGGTTTTGTCATGGGGATTCTCTAACGGGATCAAACAATGCTGGAGAAAATAACCACAACCAGTCAGCTCTAAGGGGCGACGATATGCGAGGAATGATACATGATGCATTTGGAGGTGTTACACAGTTTATGGATACTGACATTAGTGAAAGTGGTGGCATGGAGCAAAACGTACAAGAGAATACTGCTCATCCATCTGGAAATCAATCTCATCCAGAGGTGGATAAATTTGAACGACTCATGAAGGAGGCAAATGAAGAATTATATCCTGAATGTAAGAGGTTTAGCAAACTGTCCTTTTTGCTGCATATGTATCGTATAAAATGCGTGTTCAAATGGTCAAATGAATCTTTTAATTCTTTGCTTGGACTATTGAAAGATGCGTTTCCTGAAGGAGAAAAATTGCCTCCTTCTTTCTATGAGACCAAAAAGATAGTTGAAGGCTTGGGCTTAAAGTATGAAAAAATTCATGCTTGTCGTAACGATTGCATGCTTTTTAGGAAAGAATTTGCTAATAAGAATGTTAATAAATGCAAAGTTTGTGGGGCTTCTAGATGGAAAAATGATGCTAGAAAAATTCCAGCCAAGGTCCTAAGGTATTTTCCTTTAAAACCAAGGCTACAGAGATTGTTTATGTCTTCAGAAACTTCTAAAGCAATGCGATGGCATCATGAAGAGCGCAACAAAGATGGAGTTCTACGACATCCTGCAGATTCTGAAGCTTGGAAAAATTTTGATAGTAAATATCCCGAATTTGTTGGAGATCCTCGCAATGTGCGTCTAGGATTAGCTTCTGATGGGTTTTATCCATTTGGCAAAATGCGAACTGTACACAGTACATGGCTGGTAATTTTAATGCCATATAATCTTCCACCATGGATGTGCATGAAACAAGAGTTCTTCATTTTGTCCTTACTTATTCCTGGATCAAAAGCTCCTGGCAATAATATTGATATCTTTTTGCAACCTTTAATAGAAGAGCTAAATGAATTATGGGATGATGGGATAGAAACATATGATGCCTCTGCTAAGGAGATATTTCAAATGCGAGCAGCTCTCATGTGGACTATAAATGATTTTCCAGCATATGGTACTCTCTCTGGATGGTGCACTTATGGTCGGTTTGCATGCCCTTCTTGTAACATAAACACTATCTAGAAGGCTCACACACGGTAGAAAGTTTTGTTACATGGGGCATCAGCGCTTCTTGAAGTCGGGACACAAATATCGGAATGATGCAAAATCGTTTGATGGTACTAAAGAAACAAGACCTGCACCTTGTCCAGTATCTGGGGTACTAGTGTTGAATCAAGTTAAAGATACAAAATTTACTCTCGGCCAGGCGAGTGAAGGGGTAAGTGGAGTGATGAAAAACACATGGAGAAAGAGGAGTATTTTTTTCGATCTTCCTTATTGGAAGTCTAACTTGGTGCGCCATAATCTTGATGTGATGCACATAGAAAAGAATGTGTGTGATAACTTAATTTATACATTATTGGATCTTGGTAAAAAGTCTAAAGATAACTTAGAAGCTCGTTTGGACGTGAAGGAGATGAAAATAAGACCAAGTTTATGGCCTCAATATCGAGCTAGTGGGAAAGCATATCTTCCTCCTACTTTTTTCACAATGTCTCAAAAAGAAAAAGAGTTGTTTTATGAAGTACTACAATATGCCAAGTTTCCAGATGGCTATGCGTCTAATATCTCACGCTGCATTCGCAAACGAAAGATATTTGGGTTAAAAACTCATGATTGTCATGTTATAATGCAAGAACTTCTTCCCATCGCCTTGCGGAGATCAGCAGATAAAAGAGTTAGTTCCATTTTAATTGAACTATGCACATTCTTTCGTGTTCTGTGTAGCAAAGAACTAAAAGTAGAAGAGTAAAAGTTACTTGAAGAAAAAGTTCCAGAAACTTTGTCTACTATGGAGAAACTTTTCCTCCCAGGATTCTTTACTGTTATGATACATTTGGTAATTCACTTGGCAACTGAGGCTAAACATGTGGGGCCGATACATTATCGTTGGATGTACCCAATTGAGAGGTATGAAGAATAACACTGAAACTTAATTATATATATTTAGTTGTTAAATATTATAATATCAAACTAATACCATTATTTTATTCCATAGGTATTTGGGTACTTTAAAATCATATGTTCGTAATCGTGCATGTCCAGAAGGTTCGATAACAGAAGCATACATAGCAAATGAGTGTATGGCATTTTGCTCACGGTATTTGGAGGGTGGAGATTCAAGGTCTTATTGTTCAAGAAAATGAAGTGATGAGATTAGTAAAGAAGAATGTCTTTTTTTTTTTTGGTTTGATGACTACGTCAAAAATGTGTATTTTTTCCTATTCATGAATTCCAAAATGGATTTATTGTGTATTCGATGGTCAAGAAATGATAAATGAAAGGATGAGAAATAGTGAGAGATCTATTGAGCAACCTCCTCGTAGTGTTGCTTGGGAAGGCGATGTGTATTCCTATATGTTGGGAAATAAAAAGTGGGTATGTTCGTGGTTTAGGACTTGGTCCAACTCCTTCTGTTCTGTGGGGTAGTAGGTCTTCCTTAGGAAATAATGCTGCAGATGATTCTTCTAATGAGGTTATACAAAGGTTAGAACAACAGATAATCGAGTTAAAGGAGAAACAAAATGAAGAAATGAATGTTATGAAACAAAATCAGGAGAATATGCAATCAGAATTACTCCAAATGAGACAATTAATGCACAAATATGCTCCTAATGCATCTATGCCTCAAAGTAGCAATGGCACCTTAGGTGAACAGGTAACTCCATTTCATAAACTTTAGATATTTTAAATGAAATTATAATCATATAAAAGTATTGTTATCTAACATGTTAATATTTATTAGATCTCCGATGCCAATAGTGGACATGAACGAGTACTACAAACATCAAGAATGCCTAGTGCTGCTGAAAATGCTCAACCTTCTCATGGTACTACTCATCTTTGTCCTTCGTCACTACTGTTTGAGTTTTCCTCCTTCGATTTTTATTAATTTGTTGTTGTATTTGGGCTTATAATTCATGTCACATGCATTTTGTACATAGAACAATGGAGGAGTCAATTCCCTAACTAATTCTATTACTCGTCAGACTGTTTCATGCTTCAGTAGGTAGTTGTTGAGTTCGGGCTGTTTAATTCTTCAGCAGATATTTCCTAATTTGCACCACTACAGTATCTTAGTAAAGTGTGGATTGTTTTGAGTTCGGCAATTAATCTCCAAGTGTTTGAACTAAGTTTGGCTACTAGCTGTGCACCAGTCTTGTACCAACTTTCTTGAACCAGTTTGGAACTACTTTTTCAACTTTAGTTAGGGAAAGGATGTTGTAGAGTATGTCTTCTATTGTCAATTTTCTTCTTTTTCCTCCTTCCTAATTTGATTACTTTATAGATCCTATGAGTGACATGATAACATGCTAGATTAAAGCATTTTCGTGTATTGTCCTTACCAGCTTTGTTGTGTAATGTTTTCTGTTTCGTCCTACTGTGTGGGATATCCAATCTTTATTCCTGGTTTCCTTGTCTGTCCAGAGAAAGGAAATTATTACAGAGGAGGGGAACTTTGAAACTAAGAGTTTTTAAAATTAAGCACAGCCTGCGTCCATGGGAATATGTTTTCTGGATAGTTTAGTACCTTGGCACAAGAACAGTATTAATGGTCATTCTGATTTATTGACTCAATAGACCACAGCTTATTTTGTAGATTTAGATTGACAAAACATGTGGGTGAAAAGTTTACTAAAAAGATATACACGTGGGTAAAGAGTTTGACAATTTGATTTCGTTCTTATTTGTTTAGTTGTTTGTTGCCATATAACGAGCAATGAACACTTAAGAGTACAAATTAGGTGAGCTATTAGACAGTACATGTAAGTTATGCAATTACCCCTTTCGATGAACAACTTCCTCTCGTGTTCAATAGAAACAGATTCAGAACGTAGGTCAAAAGATACAGAGTTAGCTGAGGCACTACTCCTTTGTAACAGACGTATAAATATATATGTTTAAAGGATTTTCTGAATTACAACATCGTTATAGTAGGTTAGCATTATCTTCATTTTTCTTCTCATGATTTGCCCTTTAAGTTACTCTTGCCTTCTATTACATGAGGGTCATGTTTGCCTTTTTATTACTTGAGAGAAAACAAAGAAAACAAGTTTTCCTTATGGGAAAAAATTATTGTCAAAGTACTCATTACTCAACCTCACTTCTCCAACCTTATTACTCTATTGAAGGCAATTTTAATTAAGGAAGATCTAATAGGTAGACAAGTAATACTGAACAGAAGACAGAGAGTAGCAGCTCTTCTTATTGATATGTCAATAAAACTACAATACCAGTGGCATTATAGAATTAGGGGTATACTTCAAGCACGAAAATGAACAAGTATGACATAATTTTGGCACAAAAACTTAAAAGTGTGAAACAAGGTAAAATAGAAAGAAGATGACCACAGTACTTGAACATACACCTGTACCTTATTCAAGTGCAACATATATTGTGTCATAGTAAACACAAGATATCCAAGTTTGGTACAAACAGAACATAAAAAGAAACAGTACACTTTATAGCAAAAACACACAAACGTAATGCTTTTCTTGGTTTAGTACTCATGTGGAAGTTGTGGAAGTTGCCGGGGTTGTTGGTAATTTACTGGGAAAACAGGTTGGGGCAGAGAGCCATTTGGTTGACATATCTGGAAAAAGAAATTGCTTTAGCATGTCAGATAATGTCATATAAAAGGAAGCCTATGAATTACTATGACACACTTACTTCCTTAAGGAGAAGCTTTTCTGCTGAAAAAATCCAAGCTTGGGTTCACTGAAGCCAACTTCATGGATAGGAACTGCAAAATGTTGCATTTAGCTCATGAACAGAAAAAACTCATTTCATAGTCCATTTGGTAGAAAATTTACCTCGACTTGTGATCACGCCCAACTCTAGTCCTAAAAAGGATAAGCGGTCGCTGCAAATATAATCCGGTCTAAAAGTCCGGAGTCGAATCCCACAGAGAACTAAGGTTTAGCTGTATCTGTTTAATATCACCAAGAAGACGAGATTGAAAATAAATAAACAGCTGAAAACTAACTATGCTTGAATTGTAAACAATTAGAATAAAGGTCTAAGGCAATGGTTTCCCCCGTTGGTACTTTCCTTGGTTGTATATGTCCTATAACTATGATTTAGCTATCTCTAACAATCATGAAATCTCCTCTATCATAATTCTTTCTCAAGTAATTATAATAATCTACTAGACGCACTTTCTCAAGCTACGCTAGCTACTTGCACAATACGGTTCACTTAGATTGCACCCGGGTTTTGTTATCTCTAATCCAACCCTAAACCTCGGTTATGACTCTCGTCTATACTCCGGGAGTGATGTTGTTCAAACAACTACCTAAATATGCACTCTCTCTCAAGCAGATACATAATAAATAGGAATGGCTAATTGAGGATCCTTTCAATTAACCACAATCAAAACATAGAAGAACAATTAGAGATTAACAACCAAATATAATTATTGATAAAACAACCAAGTTATTTCCCAACGGTTCCACCCAAAACCTTAGATTAAGGTTTTTAGCTACTCATGACAATGGGTAAATCAAATACTAAAAGATTCATAATTATGAATTGCAAGAAAATAAAGAAGAAAAGAAATAAAGATATTTAGGTGATCTCTCACAATTATTTCTTGCAAAGTACTCTCTAATAATGTTTTATGCCTCCTTTGGGCGAGTTCTAGTGTTTAAATAGGGTTTTGGGCTAAGAATTCCGGGAATTTGCACTTCAGTCCCTTAAGTACCGTGCCTGCCGCGGTCCTACGCGCCCACGCTGGACCGGCGTCCAAACGACCTCTCTGAATCTCCTCTGACAGCTCACCGCGGTCCTACCGCCCCACGCTGGGGACCGTCGGCAGTTCACCTCCAGGCCTCGTTTGTGTATTTCAAATGGTTCATCGGCGACTTTGATGCGATTGGCTTCTTTTTCTTCCATAAATGATACAAACCACTCATAGCCTTCTTCTAATGTATGTAACCTGAAAAACATGACAAGCACTAATAAGACATTTTTGCTATCACTTTTACAATAAAAACTCTACAAGAAAGTGGTTCTTTTGGGGC